GCACTCTCCCAATACCACCAACATTCCTTGTCTTGGGGCAGTCCCTCTTGAAATGCCCGGTTTCTCCACATCCATAACATGCTTGGCTTACTCCAGTACCAGGAACTTGAGTGAATGGCCGCGCTGGTGCCTTACAGAAACGGGCTGTGTGCCCTTTCCTGTCGCAGTTCTTACAGTACATCTCGCGGCAATTACCGTGGTGATGGTAGTTGCATTTGCTGCACTTTGGCAAGTTCCCTGCATATTGTTTTGTTGGCGTCGAAGTTGTAGGAGTTGTGCCGGGAGTAGTAGCAGCATGAACCGCCACCATTTGTCTCTTTGAAGGTTCTTGCGAGGTTAGTCCCTTCCTCTTGTTCCAGTACTTCTTCTTGCTGTTGTTATTGTTGTCATTGTTCCCTTTGGTTGGTTCAGTTGCGATAGTCGTGACTCCTTGGCAGACGCCATGATCCACAAGAGATTGCGCCAGTTCTTTGGCACTGTCGAAGGTCATGGGCTTGGAAGCTAGCACACTTCCTCGCAGTTGGGGTGATAATCCCCAGATGTATCTCTCCACTTTTTGGCTTTCTAGAATCAACATCCCAGGACAAAGCGTTATCAAATCGCTGAACCTATTGGTGTAGCCTGCGATGTCCGATCCTTTCATCGAAAGGTTCCACAATTCTTGTTCCAGCTTCTGAATCTCGCCCCTTGGGCAGTATTCCCGTAGGAGCATTCGCTTCAAATTCTCCCAACCCATGGAGTTTGCCACCACCAGGGTTAGTGTCTTGACGTGGCCGTTCCACCATGTCAAGGCGCGTTCAGAGAATGTACAGGCAGCAAATTTTACTTTGCTTTCTTCCGGGCATGCGCAAATTTCAAATACGGCTTCCGTTTTCTCTATCCATTGGGACAGAGCCAATACTCCTCCAGTTCCATAAAAGGGAATAGGTTTTCCATTAGTGAAGTCTTTGTAAGTGCAGACTCCAGTACGGCCTTGGCTTGGGCCGTTGGTAAAGCTATTTATTCCACCTCCCGACCCATTGTTGCTCATTTGAGCCATCGCCGCGGTTACAGCGGCCGTTACAGCAGTTTGGAACATAGCTGCATCCATAGTTGGAGGAGGTGGTGGAGGTGGTGCTGGAGTTGAGTTTCTGCGTGTTGTTCTACGAGGAGGCATGTTCTGGTAGAGAAAATAAGAATGAATACTATAAGTTTCTAATGTTTTGACAATCGTGTAGTTGAGGGTTAGTCGTATCTTGTAATTTGTTTTGACTTTAGTTTTTGGTTTCAAATTAGATATAACAATTTAATTAATTTCGAGAGGTATATAAAGAGGCACTGCATATATATATATATATATATATATATATATATATATATATATATATACACACCTAAGGTGTGTTTCATTAGGCTTCTAGGAAAATTTGACCTATTTAAGAGGTCTCCGTTTTACAGATACAAAAGAAAATAAGAGAAAAACTTTATCCGCGGTCCTAGTCTATATCAAAATTTGTTGGAGCTTGAACAAACTCTACTTGTGGCGTTTGGAGCTGGATTCGGCATCTGACCGTTTGACTCCCATCAGTCGCCTCTCGAATTCCGCTTGTTGTTCTTTCATCTCCCTTATATCATCTAGAGCTGTTATCATTTGGTTCTGTAGTGTCCCCGTGTAGATTTGGATATTCTCATGTAGTCCTTCCAAACGGCTGATGTCGGAGGCGTTCCCTTGGGTAGCAGCATTGATCTCTCGAATTCTGGTTGCTTGTTGGTCTGCCTGGTAGCTCTGGTTAGCTATAGCGTTCACGACAACGGGAAGTGCTCGATCAGCTGAGCCTCCTCCACTGACATTGTAAAAATCCCGACACATGCCAAATGGAGGGCGCACGCCTTGCTGACGGCTCCAGTAGTAGAGGTGGCTCCCCCAGATGGGAATGGGTCCCGGTTGATGTGGCCTGATCACTGGAGGATGGGGGATGGGAGGGTCAATTACTTCTGGTTCGGAATCTGTTCCGCTAGAAATTTCCACGATCTCCTCGTCGACTTCGTATTCCTCTCCGACTTCGATTTCGAATTCTTCTTCGACTTCTTCTTCGATTTCTTCTTCGATTTCCTCTGGGTCTTCCTCCGGGTCTCTTCTATCCAGCCGCCGTTACCTTGATTTAGGTAGTAGGGGTCTCCCGGTAAAGGAAATCCGGCCATTTGTCTGTACTGGGATAGAGGTATGAGATTTTTATAAGAAAAGAATTTCTAATTAACGAATTCCTAAGCCTATTTATATCTTTACTGAGCGCAATGTTTTATCGTTTAATAATAGACTTATATTATTTCAATTTAGCGAATTTAGATTTTATAAGTTTTTGGCTTGTTGACTACTACGACCATTCCTCGACGTATATTGGTCAAATCCAGGATAAATATAGTTGATCAGGCTATATTTATTCTTGATTTGATTACATACCCCAAGGCTCAATCGTGGTATTGCAACTTGCCATACTACTTTTTAGAAAAACTTGTCATGACGCGAGACTGATACGTGCGGTAAAAATGTATATATTTAAAAGAAAATATATTTCTATGAAAATGTTGTTATCAGAGGGTTTTTGGTTCCCGTTGTATTTATAGTTTGTATATCTTATGTGGTTAGATATACTTAGTTCACTATAAACAATGCTCTGATACCAATCTGTCACACCCCCAAACCAGAATGGCGGAAACATTCGGGGGTGGATGACTTCACGTAGTATCACAACGATTGAATATTGTAAAGAAAGTAACACAACCATCATATATATAAAAATGAAAACGTATATTGTTGCGTTATACATGTTATCAAAAGAATATTACAATATGATGATAAATGTTTAATGATAAAAACATCCTTTGTGTTCCTTCTTCCAAAAGCTGGTAGTTTACCTGTATCACTGATTCCCTGAGAAATACAAGTGGTTTTGAAAAGTGTCAACAATTAAGTTGGTGAGTTCATGAGTGTTCCGAGTTGAAAAGTATATTCCTTTTGGTAGAAATTTGGTAAACGAGGTTTTCAGAAAATCTAATATTTTCTTGTAAGATGAAAAAGATTCCCAAGTTGGAATGGGTTAGTAACTTTTATAAACAAATGATGACAATAATTTAGTATGGAAATATAATGTAGGAAAACTGCGATGCACATATGAATCTCGTAAATCAATCTTGTTTTATACTTTTTATGTGAGTTTTATAACCATACTAATGACACTGACGGCCTGTAACAACATTCTTCAAGTGTTGCAGTGTTATGACATTTGTCACTCCAGACCTGCCGGTCTAACTATAGCTAGTAGTTTAGGTGCGGGATTGTCAATCCCGTATAGATCTATACACAAGTATCACGCTCTCCCTCCAAGAGATTATGGTATATAATACAGGACTTGAAATGCATACAAAAATGTACGTTGAAGTTAAATGTCTCACATTGACTAGTATAAATAGATTTACAATGAAATAACCTTACTTCTCTTGAAAGTGTTTCGTTTTTCAAATTGTATAAAATGTAGGATTTACTTGCTAACTATACCCATTATAGTTTTTCAGATAGTATGTTCCATTTCGTAGAAATAACTTAGTGATATAATCGCCCTTGTATACATAAGATGTTTGTATCGATATTCGAAGTTAGAAATTTGCATTTATGTTTGTAAAACGATACTTTTAACGTGTAATGTACTTGTATTTCCCCCCTAAAACATGAAAAATAATTGAAAAGTAGGGGTATGAACTCACCCGTTAAGTTTGAAGAGAGGGGCTAGAGTTGAGCAGAGTTTCGATCGCGGATAGTGGCATCGTCGGGCTCTTCGGGGATCTCTGCAACGTAAATCTTTCGTCCGGGGCTCGAGTGCGGAAACCGAGGTAAGGGGAGGGTCTCTGGAGCTTAGAAGTATGAGAGAATGGCTGGGAAATGGTGAAGGTGTGCCTAAACTCGAAGCTTATGCCTTCCATTTATAGGGCTGGAAAACCCCGTACGCGGCGCGTACTTCCGGAGTACGCGGGGCGTAATGTGGCGTCATGGCTTACGACTCGGGTCTAGCCAGGGTACCTTGGGCGGGTCGATGGGACTACTGGGTCTAGCCGGGCGTAGCTTGGGCGGGTTGATGAGACCCGACTCTGGGTCTAGTACGCGGGGCGTACTCCCAGAGTACGCGGGGCGTAATCCCTGCTTCCGACTTCTAAATTCCGTAACTTTCGCGTACGAGCTCCGTTTTTCGCGTTCTTTATATCCACGCGTAGGTGAGATTATGCTCTACAACTTTCATTTAGACTTCGTCGGCTAGTTTTGACTTTATTTTTAATGATATAATTTTAATAGGCCGGGCCTCCTAAAGTTCGTTAAAATTTCATAGGTTCTTTATTCGACGTTGGTTTTCGTTTGTCTTTTGATTGTCTTATTACCACCGAGAAGATCTTCAACTTCCGTTTAGGTGGCGATAGCTAAATAACACTCGATCTTTAATCCGAGTTTTTAGCCCTTTACTACTGTTACGAAACTTTGAAAATTCGTAACTTCTTCATACGAGGTCCAATTTGGGCGATCTTTTTATGCACGCTCATCTTTCAACGAGATCTACGACTTTTGTTTAGATACTTTAAGGCTAAAATGTATTTTATTGAGATTCCACTTTTTACGTCAAATTATGTTTTAACGTCGTGTCGTAATTATACGAGTAGTTATAATTTCTTTAATATAACTCGGTTTTGAGTGTTCTTTATGTTTTTGGAAACCTGGGCATGATATTCAATATTCGATGCATCCCAACTTAGATACCTGAACACTTTATTGTCGAGGTTAATTTCGTTGTTTTTAGCTTTCGAGTGTTTACAATGTTTTTGGAAAAATAGGGTTGTCACAAAACTCTTCTATTTTCTTAAACATTCTACGCATCAAACGCAAAGTATAGGTCCAAAAATACATACCCCATGCAAACATGCAATTTTCAATTTATTTATTATAATTATTATTATTGCATTGCATTTATACACGATCTTTAAATGTATTTAAAGAAATCAGCAAGCTTGTATACTGTTGCGGGAATTCCCGTTTTAACATCCTGTCCATGAAGACCCTTCAACATAAAAACAAGTTGGATAAGCATGACACCATCTTCATCTTGTAGCGCCAAATAATTCAGGGATATAACCAAGTCTTCTAAATCTTTCAGCCGCAATCGTACATCAGAAATATCTGGGAACAGCCGAGCACGAAGATTTGAATTTGACTAGCCTTTTTCGTCATGGAGTAAATCCACATAAAGACCAACTTTTAAACCACAAATGAGAATATATTAAGTTTCACCAAAACCAACCTGCATCCCCTCTATATCAAAAAGAAACCTCCCAATTTCAAATATTTCTTAACACCTTACTTCGTGCAACATCATCATATGCACAAATAAGGGATCACCATGTGGGATATGCATCCCTAAGAATATTCCAAATGGCAAAGCTTCGAATAATAGCCGTTGTGATTGTGTTAGGTGCAGAAAATAGTCTTTAATGATAGTCCCCACCACGCCTTTCAAAGTTAAATCTGCTTTTTGATTGCGATCTTCGTGCTACAATCCAAAAACTAGCAACATACTATTTATATATAACTAAATACATAAAAGAAAAGGGCAGAAAAGTAGAAAAATAAATAATTATGGAAAAACCATTTTAAATGTCATTCCGCGGAGGCTAGATGTCATTCCGCGGAGTGAGCTTCACCTCCGCGGAGACCTAGCTTTCTTCGATTATATCATTCCGCGGAGGTAACACATCACTCCGCGGAGCATCCTCTACACACTGACGTAACCCTCTGCGTAATGGATCATCCCCAAAAAATGAATCATGTGATTTCAAATTCTAAAAAACCTAAATCTGTATACATATTCTATGTAATAAATTGGGTTTTCCTCAAAATTTAATCATATACGACATTAATAATAAGATGAGAATGTGAGAAATACCTGGGAACCGTATCCATCGGCCAAAACATTGGGGAATTTGCCCTTCATCGGTGCCGGATTTGAAGTCGTATATACTCGATTTCGCCAGAATAGGTCGTCGTTTGAGGGCGTATTTCACCGGATTTGAAGTCGTCACCGGAAAAAGAAGTCGATCAACACCGATGCGGAGTGACGAAGACAACCGGGGGACCAGTGACAACCATAAGAGGAGACGTCGTTTTTCTAAAAAAGGATGGGTTGAAATTACAAAATTACCCCCTCTACACGGAGGTTTCATGGTTACACGGAGGTCCATAGAGGGTCCTCCACGGAATGCATGTTTATGCCTGGCAAAGTCAAATTTTATGATCAAATTTTGAAATTGGCCCCGATTTTTTTTTGTCTATTGATGGTATTTTGCCAAAATACAATCACTTGATGCATAATTTTCCTTATTTCTAACCCCTGATCGAATCGTATGAATCCTCTCGATCTTTGAATGTATTTAAAGAAATCAGCAAGCTTGTATACTGCTGCGGGAATTCCCGTTTTAACATCTTGTCCGTGAAAACCCTTCAACATAAAAACAAGCTGGATAAGCATGACAACATCTACATCTTGTAGTGCCAAATAATTCAGGGATATAACCAAGTCTTCTAAATCTTTCAGCCACAAACGTGCATCAGAAATATCTGGGAACAGCCGAGCACGAAGATTTGAATTTGACCAGCCTTTTTCGTCATGGAGTAAATCCACATAAGGATCAACTTTTAAACCACAAATGAGAATATATTAAGTTTCACCAAAACCAATATTCATCCCCTCTATATCAAAAAGAAACCTCCTCATTTCAAATATTTCTTAACACCTTACTTCGTGCAACATCATCATATGCACAAATAAGGGATCACCATGTGGGATATGCATCCCTAAGAATATTCCAAATGGCAAAACTTCGAATAATAGTCATTGTGATTGTGTTAGGTGCATAAAATAGTCTTTAATGATAGTCCCCACCACGCCTTTCAAAGATAAATCTGCTTTTTTGATTGCGATCTGCGTGCTACAATCCAAAAACTAGCAACATACTTTATATATATATATATATATATATATATATATATATATATATATATATATATATATATATATATATATAACTAAATACATAAAAGAAAAGGGCAGAAAAGTAGAAAAATAAATAATTATGGAAAAATCTTTTTAAATGTCATTCCGCGGAGGCTAGAGGTCATTCCGCGGAGTAAGCTTCACCTCCGCGGAGACCTAGCTTTCTTCGATTATATCATTCCGCGGAGGTAACACATCACTCCGCGGAGCATCCTCTGCACACTGACGTAACCCTCTGCGTAATGGATCATCCCCAAAAAATGTATCATGTGATTTCAAATTCTAAAAAACCTAAATCTGTATACATATTCTATGTAATAAATTGGGTTTTCCTCAAAATTTAATCATATACGACATTAATAATAAGATGAGAATGTGAGAAATACCTGGGAACCGTATCCATCAGCCAAAACATTGGGGAATTTGCCCTTCATCGGTGCCAGATTTGAAGTCGTATATACTCGATTTCGCAAGAATAGGTCGTCGTTTGAGGGCGTATTTCACCGGATTTGAAGTCGTCACCGGAAAAAGAAGTCGATCAACACCGATGCGGAGTGACGAAGACAACCGGGGGACCAGTGAGGACCATAATAGGAGTCGTTGTTTTTCTAAAAAAGGATGGGTTGAAATTACAAAATTACCCCCTCTACGCGGAGGTTTCATGGTTACACGGAGGTCCATAGAGGGTCCTCCACGGAATGCATGTTTATGCCTGGCAAAGTCAAATTTTATGATCAAATTTTGAAATTGGCCCCGATTTTTTTTGCCTATTGATGGTATTTTGCCAAAATACAATCACTTAATGCATAATTTTCCTAATCTCTAACCCCTGATCGAATCGTATGAATCCTCTCGATCTTTGAATGTATTTAAAGAAATCAGCAAGCTTGTATACTGCTGCGGGAATTCCCGTTTTAACATCCTGTCCGTGAAGACCTTTCAACATAAAAACAAGCTGGATAAGCATGACAACATCTTCATCTTGTAGCGCCAAATAATTCAGGGATATAACCAAGTCTTCTAAATCTTTCAGCCACAAACGTGCATCAGAAATATCTAGGAACAGCCGAGCACGAAGATTTGAATTTGACCAGCCTTTTTCTTCATGGAGTAAATCCACATAAGGACCAACTTTTAAACCACAAATGAGAATATATTAAGTTTCACCAAAACCAAACTGCATCCCCTCTATATCAAAAGGAAACCTCCCCATTTCAAATATTTCTTAACACCTTACTTCGTGCAACATCATCATATGCACAAATAAGGGATCACCGTGTGGGATATGCATCCCTAAGAATATTCCAAATGGAAAAGCTTCAAATAATAGCCGTTGTGATTGTGTTAGGTGCAGAAAATAGTCTTTAATGATAGTCCCCACCACGCCTTTCAAAGTTAAATCTGATTTTTGATTGCGATCTTTGTGCAACAATCCAAAAACTAGCAACATACTTTTTATGTATATATAACTAAATACATAAAAGAAAAGGGCAGAAAAGTAGAAAAATAAATAATTATGGAAAAACCATTTTAAATGTCATTTCGCGGAGGCTAGAGGTCATTCCGCTGTGTGAGCTTCACCTCTGCGGAGACCTAGCTTTGTTCGATTATATCATTCCGCGGAGGTAACACATCACTCCGCGGAGCATCCTCTGCGCACTGACGTAACCCTCTGCGTAATGGATCATCCCCAAAAAATGAATCATGTGATTTCAAATTCTAAAAAACCTAAATCTGTATACATATTCTATGTAATAAATTGGGTTTTCCTCAAAATTTAATCATATACGACATTAATAATAAGATGAGAATGTGAGAAATACCTGGGAACCGTATGCATCGGCCAAAACATCAGGGAATTTGCTCTTCATCGGTGTCGGATTTGAAGTCGTATATACTCGATTTCGCCAGAATAGGTCGTCGTTTGAGGGCGTATTTCACCGGATTTGAAGTCGTCACCGGAAAAAGAAGTCGATATGCGGAGTGACGAAGACAACTGGGTGACTAGTGAGGACCATAAGATGAGACGTCGTTTTTCTAAAAAAGGATGGGTTGAAATTAAAAAATTACCCACTCTACATGGAGGTTTCATGGTTACACGGAGGTCCATAGAGGGTCCTCCACGGAATGCATGTTTATGCCTGGCAAAGTCAAATTTTATGATCAAATTTTGAAATTGGCCCCGATTTTTTTTGTCTATTGATGGTATTTTGCCAAAATACAATCACTTGATGCATAATTTTCCTTATTTCTAATCCCTGATCGAATCGTATGAATCCTCTCGATCTTTAAATGTATTTAAAGAAATCAGCAAGCTTGTATACTGCTGCGGGAATTCCCGTTTTAACATCCTGTCCATGAAGACCCTTCAACATAAAAACAAGCTGGATAAGCATGACAAGATCTACATCTTGTAGTGCCAGATAATTCAGGGATATAACCAAGTCTTCTAAATCTTTCAGCCACAAACGTGCATCAGAAATATCTGGGAACAGCCGAGCACGAAGATTTGAATTTGACCAGCCTTTTTCGTCATGGAGTAAATCCACATAAGGACCAACTTTTAAACCACAAATGAGAATATATTAAGTGTCACAAAAACCAAACTGCATCCCCTCTATATCAAAAAGAAACCTCCCCGTTTCAAATATTTCTTAACACCTTACTTCGTGCAACATCATCATATGCACAAATAAGGGATCACCATGTGGGATATGCATCCCTAAGAATATTCCAAATGGCAAAGCTTCGAATAATAGCCGTTGTGATTGTGTTAGGTGCAGAAAATAGTCTTTAATGATAGTCCCCACCACGCCTTTCAAAGTTAAATCTGCTTTTTGATTGCGATCTTCGTTCTACAATCCAAAAACTAGCAACATACTTTATATATATAACTAAATACATAAAAGAAAAGGGCAGAGAAGTAGAAAAATAAATAATTATGGAAAAACCATTTTAAATGTCATTCCGCGGAGGCTAGAGGTCATTCCGCGGAGTGAGCTTCACCTCTGCGGAGACCTAGCTTTCTTCGATTATATCATTCCGCGGAGGTAACACATCACTCCGCGGAGCATCCTCTGCACACTGACGTAACCCTCTGCGTAATGGATCATCCCCAAAAAATGAATCATGTGATTTTAAATTCTAAAAAACCTAAATCTGTATACATATTCTATGTAATAAATTGGGTTTTCCTCAAAATTTAATCATATACGACATTAATAATAAGATGAGAATGTGAAAAATACCTGGGAACCGTATGTATCGGCCAAAACATCGGGGAATTTTCCCTTCATCGGTGCCGGATTTGCAGTCGTATATACTCGATTTTGCCAGAATAGGTCGTCGTTTGAGGGTGTATTTCACCGGATTTGAAGTCGTCACTGGAAAAAGAAGTCGATCAACACCGATGCGGAGTGACGAAGACAACCGGGGACCAGTGAGGACCATAAGAGGAGACATCGTTTTTCTAAAAAAGGATGGGTTGAAATTACAAAATTACTCCCTCTACGCGGAGGTTTCATGGTTACACGGAGGTCCATAGAGGGTCCTCCACGGAATGCATGTTTATGCCTGGCAAAGTCAAATTTTATGATCTAATTTTGAAATTGGCCCCGATTTTTTTTGTATATTGATGGTATTTTGCCAAAATACAATCACTTGATGCATAATTTTCCTTATTTATAACCCCTGATCGAATCGTATGAATCCTCTCGATCTTTAAATGTATTTAAAGAAATCAGCAAGCTTGTATACTGGTGCGGGAATTCCCGTTTTACCATCCTATCCGTGAAGACCCTTCAACATAAAAACAAGCTGGATAAGCATGACAACATCTTCATCTTGTAGCGCCAAATAATTCAGGGATATAACCAAGTCTTCTAAATCTTTCAGCCGCAAACGTGCATCAGAAATATCTGGGAACAGCCGAGCACGAAGATTTGAATTTGACCAGCCTTATTCGTCATTGAGTAAATCCACATAAGGACCAACTTTTAAACCACAAATAAGAATATATTAAGTTTCACCAAAACCAAACTGCATACCCTCTATATCAAAAAGAAACCTCCCCATTTCAAATATTTCTTTACACCTTACTTCGTGCAACATCATCATATGCAGAAATAAGGGATCAACATGTGGGATATGCATCCCTAAGAAAATTCCAAATGGATAAAGCTTCGAATAATAGCCGTTGTGATTGTGTTAGGTGCAGAAAATAGTCTTTAATGATAGTCCCCACCACGCCTTTCAAAGTTAAATCTGCTTTTTGATTATGATCTTCGTGCTACAATCCAAAAACTAGCAACATACTTTTTATGTATATATAACTAAATACATAAAAGAAAAGGGCAGAAAAGTAGAAAAATAAATAATTATGGAAAAACCATTTTAAATGTCATTCCGCGGAGGCTAGAGGTCATTCCGCGGTGTGAGCTTAACCTCTGCGGAGACCTAGATTTCTTCGATTATATCATTCCGCGGAGGTAACACATCACTTCGCCGAGCATCCTCTGCACACTGACGTAACCCTCTGCGTAATGGATCATCCCCAAAAAATGAATCATGTGATTTCGAATTCTAAAAAACCTAAATCTGTACACATATTCTATGCAATAAATTGTGTTTTCCACAAAATTTAATCATATACGACATTAATAATACGATGAGAATGTGAGAAATACCTGGGAACCGTATCCATCGGCCAAAACATCGGGGAATTTGCCCTTCATCGGTGCCGGATTTGAAGTGGTATATACTCGATTTCGCAAGAATAGGTCGTCGTTTGAGGGCGTATTTCACCGGATTTGAAGTCGTCACCGGAAAAAGAAGTCGATCAACACCGATGCGGAGTGACGAAGACAACCGGGGGACCAGTGAGGACCATAATAGGAGTCGTCGTTTTTCTCAAAAAGGATGGGTTGAAATTACAAAATTACCCCCGCTACGTGGAGGTTTCATGGTTACACGGAGGTCCATAGAGGGTCCTCCACGGAATGCATGTTTATGCCTGGCAAAGTCAAATTTTATGATCAAATTTTGAAATTGGCCCCAATTTTTTTTGTCTATTGATGGTATTTTGCCAAAATACAATAACTTAATGCATAATTTTCCTTATTTCTAACCCCTGATCGAATCGTATGAATCCTCTCGATCTTTAAATGTATTTAAAGAAATCAGCAAGCTTGTATACTGCTGCGGGAATTCCCGTTTTAACATCCTGTCCGTGAAGACCTTTCAACATAAAAACAAGCTGGATAAGCATGACAACATCTTCATCTTGTAGCGCCAAATAATTCAGGGATATAACCAAGTCTTCTAAATCTTTCAGCCACAAACGTGCATCAGAAATATCTGGGAACAGCCGAGCACGAAGATTTGAATTTGACCAGCCTTTTTCGTCATGGAGTAAATCCACATAAGGATCAACTTTTAAACCACAAATGAGGATATATTAAATTTCACCAAAACCAATATGCATCCCCTCTATATCAAAAAGAAAACTCCCCATTTCAAATATTTCTTAACACCTTACTTCGTGCAACATCATCATATGCACAAATAAGGGATCACCATGTGGGATATGCATCCCTAAGAATATTCCAAATGGCAAAACTTCGAATAATAGCCGTTGTGATTGTGTTAGGTGCATAAAATAGTCTTTAATGATAATCCCCACCACGCCTTTCAAAGTTAAATCTGTTTTTTGATTGCGATCTGCGTGCTACAATCCAAAAACTAGCAACATACTTTATATATATATATATATATAATATATATATATATATATATATATATATATATATATATATATATATATATAAAACTAAATACATAAAAGAAAAGGGCAGAAAAGTAGAAAAATAAATAATTATGGAAAAACCATTTTAAATGTCATTCCGCGGAGGCTAGAGGTCATTCCGCGGAGTGAGCTTCACCTCTGCGGAGACCTAGCTTTCTTCGATTATATCATTCCGCGGAGGTAACACATCACTCCGCGGAGCATCCTCTGCACACTGACGTAACCCTCTGCGTAATGGATCATCCCCAAAAAATGAATCATGTGATTTCAAATTCTAAAAAACCTAAATCTGTATACATATTCTATTTAATAAATTGGGTTTTCCTCAAAATTTAATCATATACGACATTGATAATAAGATGAGAATGTGAGAAATACCTGGGAACCGTATGCATCGGCCAAAACATCGGGGAATTTGCCCTTCATCGGTGCCAGATTTGAAGTCGTATATACTCGATTTCGCCAGAATAGGTCGTCGTTTGAGGGCGTATTTCACCGGATTTGAAGTCGTCAAATGAAAAAGAAGTCGATCAACACCGATGCGGAGTGACGAAGACAACTGGGGGACTAGTGAGGACCATAAGAGGAGACGAAGTTTTTCTAAAAAAGGATGAGTTGAAATTACAAAATTACCCCCTCTACACGGAGGTTTCATGGTTACACGGAGGTCCATAGAGGGTCCTCCACGGAATGCATGTTTATGCCTGGCAAAGTCAAATTTTATGATCAAATTTTGAAATTGGCCCCGATTTTTTTTGTCTATTGATGGTATTTTGCCAAAATACAATCACTTGATGCATAATTTTCCTTATTTCTAACCCCTGATCGAATCGTATGAATCCTCTCGATCTTTGAATGTATTTAAAGAAATCAGCAAGCTTGTATACTGCTGCGGGAATTCCCGTTTTAACATCTTGTCCGTGAAGACCCTTCAACATAAAAACAAGCTGGATAAGCATGACAACATCTACATCTTGTAGTGCCAAATAATTCAGGGATATAACCAAGTCTTCTAAATCTTTCAGCCACAAACGTGCATCAGAAATATCTGGGAACAGCCGAGCACGAAGATTTGAATTTGACCAACCTTTTTCGTCATGGAGTAAATCCACATAAGGACCAACTTTTAAACCACAAATGAGAATATATTAAGTGTCACAAAAACCAAACTGCATCCCCTCTATATCAAAAAGAAACCTCCCCATTTCAAATATTTCTTAACACCTTACTTCGTGCAACATCATCATATGCACAAATAAGGGATCACCATGTGGGATATGCATCCCTAAGAATATTCCAAATGGCAAAGCTTCGAATAATAGCCGTTGTGATTGTGTTAGGTGCAGAAAATAGTCTTTAATGATAGTCCCCACCACGACTTTCAAAGTTAAATCTGCTTTTTGATTGCGATCTTCGTGCTACAATCCAAAAACTAGCAAGATACTTTTTATGTATATATAACTAAATACATAAAAGAAAAGGGCAGAAAAGTAGAAAAATAAATAATTATGGAAAAACCATTTTAAATGTCATTCCGCGGTGTGAGCTTCACCTCTGCGGAGACCTAGCTTTCTTCGATTATATCATTCCGCGGAGGTAACACATCACTTCGCCGAGCATCCTCTGCACACTGACGTAACCCTCTGCGTAATGGATCATCCCCAAAAAATGAATCATGTGATTTCAAATTCTAAAAAACCTAAATCTGTATACATATTCTATGTAATAAATTGGGTTTTCCTCAAAATTTAATCATATACGACATTAATAATAAGATGAGAATGTGAGAAATACCTGGGAACCATATCCATCGGCCAAAACATCGGGGAATTTGCCCTTCATCGGTGCCGGATTTGAAGTGGTATATACTCGATTTCGCCGGAATATGTCGTCGATTGAGGGCGTATTTCACCTGATTTGAAGTCGTCGCCGGAAAAAGAAGTCGATCAACACTGATGCGGAGTGACGAAGACAACCGGGGGACCAGTGAGGACCATAAGAGGAGACGTCGTTTTTCTCAAAAAGGATGGGTTGAAATTACAAAATTACCCCTCTACGTGGAGGTTTCATGGTTACACGGAGGTCCATAGAGGGTCCTCTGCGGAATGCATGTCTATGCCTGGTAAAATCAAATTTTATGATCAAATTTTGAAATTGGCCTCGATTTTTTTTGTCTATTAATAGTATTTTGCCAAAATACAATCACTTAATGCATAATTTTCCTTATTTCTAAGCCCTTATCGAATCGTATGAATCCTCTCGATTTTGTGGGTGTTTTAAGCTGAAACAATGTTAAATCTTTATGAATCGGAAAATTGTAAAATTTCATATTATTTGGATTTATTTGTTTCCTAATAATCTTTTTATTTCATAAAAACATCAATTTCTTATGTAATGTTGTAGGTTTTGTACCATGAGTTCGTTTTTGTAGATTGAAATGGAATAAAAGTTGAACAAGAGGTTATTTCCATATTCAATGCCTCTTTCTTTGAACATAAAAACGGCCAATAAAAGAATATATTAGTTAATGGTTGTGATTTGGGGTATTGTTGATACTATTTTGTTATTCTAACGTATACTAAATATTAGTGTTTTGGTACATTATAAAACTGGACAATATGGTTTTATGTGCTCTATAATGTTTTAACTCCTTGGAGATTAATGAGCTCTAGCTACAATTGATTGTTTATTGGATATATATGTAAAGCTTAATTAAAGGGTCGAACATATACATTCAATAATAACTCGTTCAATATGGGATTCATGGTTTGTCATTCAACTTCTATTGTTGTATATTTTTTATTATTATAAAACTTTATGTATATCTAAAATTCATAAAATGGGACGCTAACCACATGAAGTTTACTTTGTATGCGAATCTTTAAAAATAATAGTTTCATATGTCAACGAATAATCGAATAATAAATTAATTCGAGATATTTGCTTTAATATTTCTTTGACCTATGGGTATTTGTTTAAATATATTCTTTTAGTCCGAAAACAAAAATGTATTTTTATTTTTTAGTCAAAGGAAAGGAAAGAAAACTTTTATTTTTACCTAGAACAAGAAGGCAAATTTACTTTTAACTCAAATCAATTTACTTTTGTTGTTAATAAAAAAACTCCAATATATTTTTATTTGTATCCCAAAATGACCCCATACTATTATTTGCAATAAATATCAACAACATATTATAAATAAAAAACAACCAGTAGAAAGGTAACTTAGCATCGTCCAAAAACTATTCATCATAAATAAACCATTGGTGTATTGTTTAATTGCATGGACGCTGAATGCATTCCTATGGTGAATCATTTTTATTTTAAGTTTTGATATTTTAGATTTGAAATTTAAGGTTTAGGGTTTAGGTTGTTGTTTAATGATGACTTTTGCTGGTATAAGAGAAAGAATTTGGGCTCCAATAATCAACGTTGTGGCTTATTAAATTGCTTGATGTAGGTTACAATATATGCTCTAAATGGGCTGCTAAATGAAGAACAATGTCCATTTTATGAACCTTTTGTTGCTCAATTTTTTTACTATTTTGCAAATGTATGTATTTTTTTTAAAGAAATAAAGTATTCACTAATGGAAATCTTCTATACCATTTATGGTTTAAACATTTTTCTTAAGTTGACTAATGGTTAATGCGATATTGGTTCTTTTTGCGGTTTGTGTATTGTAATTATATAAATATATTAAAGGAGGGTTTCCAATTGAACAGTACTCTGTTCCTGTTGGACCACCTTTAATATTTTTTGTTTTTTTTACTCATGTGCTGAAACTTTGATAGTATAAGTGTTGTTTGCTGCTCCCACACACAACCCACACATAAGTGTAACCAATAAAAGCAGGATGAGTGTGCTCTCCACCGCTTCATTCCCACTTGAGCTTCCACCGCACCATCAATTTTTTTATCTTCCACCGCCTCTGTCCGTGTTCATATATCCCACCGCCTTCTCTCACCGACTCTGATTTCGTTCATTTCCCTTCTAATCGTACCGACACCGTTTCGACCCCTATATTGGTTGAACAACTCGTTATTCAGACCGATCAGAGAAGCAACACCAATGGCAGAACAAGCGACGGACGTGGTCAAGCCGGCACCAACAAATATAGGGATTTGTTGAATTGTTCTGCTCCTCCCGTTTTCACTTTCTGGCCAACACTCCTCAATAGCTTCGCCAACGGCACACGGTTTCTCCACCAGGTAAGTTTTAATTTTTTTCTAGGGATTTGTTGAATTGTTCTCTCCATTCTCTTCCAAAATCTTCTTTCGTGTGATTTTAAATCCTCAATTTTGTCTTTTTATGTATTCATTTACTATTTGATTTCAAATTTGGATTTCTTCTCCTAAACCTAACAAAATCCTTCCGACTTGCTCTTTCTTTGATTTTGGTTTGTTGTTCCTTTTATTAATACAATTGGTTGTTTTTAAGGATTTATTTTGGTCAAAGTTTGTTATATGACTCGCTATCTCTATGTGCAGGTTCTGACTTGGCTTCCCAATCATCAATTTATGAAATTGAAGAAGGCACCTAGGTTAGAAGATTATCTACTGTGAAACTATGTCTCCCAATTCGACATCAGAGTCACTTATGAAGATATAACGATACCACAACTATCAACTACCAATTATTATCAATTTGTTTTTATATATTTTAATTAACTTGACATTTGATTTGGGTCTTGGGAACTATTTTCTGACTTAAGTTTCACTTGGTAAGTGAAACACATATTTCATCAATTTTTTTAGGGGTCACAGGAAGCAATGAATAAGCAGGGACCTCAATTGTACATAAAAGGACTAAATTACATGATGCACTGTATTTCATCATAAAGAGTTTAAACCTGTTCTGTTATTGCAATGTTTTAGGTGACAATCACACTTGTGGTTATTTCAAAGACTAGAAGTCGTAAGATCTTGAAGCCTGTCAGTGAGTCGTAATCTTATCAGGGAAACATGTTATTGGCTTACAATGGAAAGAAGAGTACATTTGATGCTAGCCCTCTTCCATTTGAATCCAAAGAATTTGTGGTGAAACTCATCGAGAGTAATGGGTATAATTTATATTTCCCAATATTTGTTTCTTTATTCTTGCTTTTTCAAAAACCATAAGCATATCTTAATGTTGGCATGTATATTGTAGGTGTGAAAAAAAGTTCAAAGTCAACATCAAGTTTCTTCCCAGAAAAGACTTGCACCATTTAAGACAGTTTCTAAGTGATAGACAACATCATAACCTCAAGAGACCATTCAGGCTCTTAATGTCGTCCTAAGGGAGACGACTTCAATAAATGAGTATTACATCTATTTTATATTTCTATATATTGTTTTAATAACAGACTTACACTGACTTCGCACAACCTGTTCTAAGAGATCTTGGTGCCATCAAAAGTTTTAAATTTCAAAAGCAATATCGGTATAGAAAGGTCCCAATTTACCTTGGATCTACAATATTTTTTTGCTTTTATGAGTTTTAGATAACAATTTCACTTTGCTTCATATTTGGGGGAAATAGAGTAATAAGTTTATTTCTAATTTAAGGGACTTGGTTGTTGATATTAAGGTTTTGAGATTATTCAACCCTGATCACATGTGACGTGACGTGACGTGACATATTCAACACTCTGAGATTATTCAACAAGTTTATTCCTACAATGGTTGGACTCAGACAAGAGCTGCGCAATAGGGCCAAATCTAGCACTCTGAGATTATTCAACCCTGATTACATGTGACGTGACGTATTCACCTAATGGCTAACTCCCATCACTCAGAATCCCACAATGCACAAAGCAAGCAGCATTCAGACAAAGGAAAAATCTAACCATAACATACTCAACAATCATAATGTCATAACAAGAATCTGCACTAGCATGCGACATAAAAAAAGCTCATAAACTCAGGCATAACCTAAACATGCTATCCTATGTAACACCGTAAATTTCAAGAAATTTCTTTTCAAATTTTATAAAAACATAATTCACTTAATGTTCATAAAACAACCATGTTTGAAATTCAATCCAAGTAATACAAAAATCCCAAGATCTCAAAATCATAAATCCCATGCGTGTGTACTGATCAAGCCAGCGCTTTCTTGCAGTCGTCACTAGTACCTGAAACAATAACACCAAACATTGTAAGCATATAACACATATTAGCCACTCGAGGCTATAACTCTGTGGGTCCGTGCACCCAAACTCTGTGAACCCTCAGGTTCTAACTCTGTAAACACGCACAACATAAACCACAAAGAATAATGCAACGCAACACATACACATATATAGCATACAAACACTGTATCACATAACTCTAATTACCTGCTCAAGGTAAAGTATAGTGAGAAGACTCACCTCGCGTATCTCGGTAACTCGCAAGTCCCTGAAATCACTCGTGCTCGATCTCCCGATCTATAGTCCTCCTATAACACAATACATCTCTAAATAACACTTCACAACTAAGGTTGACTATCCCTTAACAAGTCAACATAGGTCAACACCCGGTCAATGGTCAACGGTCAACTTTGACCGGACTCGGCGAGTGCACTATAGCGACTCAGCGAGTCTATGCGCATACACTGATTTCCCTGGGATCCTCACTTGACACGACGAGTATTCTCCTAGCTAGACGAGTTCCACCTGGCATGAGTTGTGGGGCCTCCACGACTCAACTCACCGAGTCTCAAGAACAACTCGGCGAGTCCCAGCTTGAATCGGTCCACTTGTCAACCCACTATGACTCTCCCTGACTCACTGAGTCAATCCCTTAACTCGGCAAGACCACTCGCTGAGTGCTACTGGGCAATCTTCATGCTACTCGCCGAGTCTGTTCTTCGGACTCGGCGAGTCCATGCCATGCAACAACTCAAACTCACTCCTGAGGTCAGATCTGTTCCATACATTCATAGATCTGGCCTCCACAAGCATGATAATCACATAAAGTCCAAACCTTAGGGCTCAAACAACAACTATTTGCTCATAAATGATGTTTTAGCCCCATATCTCATAACTCTAGGCCAATACTCTCATGAACACTCATAAAGCTTAAGGAATATAGCTCTTCTGGACCTCTATGGATCTCATCTCA